TCGGCTAAAATCAAGCAACTGACGAAGCAATGAAGTGACCATGATCCCAGTCGCGCACCAGATCATCCGGTCGGCCCCGCGGCGGGGCCTCCGCCAGTCCCCCGGTGTGTGAACGGCAGAGATTCTCGCGCTATGCATCCTTGTGCTGCTGGGCCGGCCCCTGGTCAGCGGAGCCGGGTGGGGTAGATTGGTGGGGGCCGCCAGGCCCGAATCCCCTATCCCCCCGGTAGCCGCGGCCAGGATCGCTTTGCCGTCGCCCTATGGGCAAGCAACTGCAAGAGGGTGGACCCCCGGACAGCAACCCGTGCACCAACGACCACCCGCGCCCAGACCGATTCACCAGCCGGCCACCCGATTCACGAACGACCCATTAATGCCCATTCACAACACGTTTTCCACGCGCACCGCAGCCCTCGTGACCGTCTCGGGCTACTCCGCATCATGGGAAATCGATCATGTGGGCACAAAGCAGCCAACAGCGGCAGACCCACGCAAAATGGCGCTGGCCAACAAAATAATAGCGCCCGTGCAGGCAGCAGCCACCCAGCCGGGTCAGGGCCTGGGATCAGAGGTGGTGGGCCTCTGGGCCATCGCTGCGTCGCTGTGCGGCCTGCCGATGGAGCAGTTCCACCTGACGCAGCGGCCGGGCCGCGACGCCGGGACCGAGCCTACGGAGCACACAATCACGCTGACAAATGTGGCCGCCCACATGGCCGCACCCCGGCGGCGTGGGCAGCAGGCGGCCGCGGGAGCCGCGCAGCCCCCCCCGGCAGCGGCGGCACAGCAACCGCCCAACCAGCAACCGCAGCAGCAGCAGCAGCAGCAGCAGCAGCAGGGACAGGGACAGCAGCAGCAGCAGCAGCAGCAGCAGCAGCAGCAGCCGCAGAGACAGCGGCAGGCGCTGCAGGCTACCCACGCGCCGGATGACGGATTCGACAGCACCCACCACCTGCAGGCGGCCCTGTCCCACTTCGCCAGGCAGAAATGCCCAGGGGCTGTCACAAAGGTCAAGGTGCACGACGCCAACACCTTCACAGGGCAGTTTAAGGTCACACTGACCTTCGCCAGCAGCATCGGCATGCTCACCTTCCTGGCAGAGGCGATCCTCTGGCTGCAGCTGCCGTGCAGGGACGCATCGGGGGACATCACCCTGGCGTGCCCCGAATGGCGCGGCGCCGTGGAGCGGGTGGACCCGGTGCTCGACTCAATGTACACGGCCCTCGTCGTGTACAAGTGCGCACAGCAGGTGCCCCCCCTCGCAGCACTGAAGCAGGCCAGCATCGCGGCATTTCTGCAGAAGTCGGCGGCCGCGGGGGTGCCCAACCCCCACCTACAGCCGGTGACAGCGTCCGTGCTGGCGGTGGCGCAGCAGGCAATGGACAGCGACCTGGTCCGCAGCACGGAGTACGTGGCAGCGCGGATGCGCCAGGACAACAAGTACAGCCTGACAGCGGCAGACCCCATGCTGTGCGAGCGGCTGCGCGGCAGCGGCGAGGTGGTGTGGGTGGTTGGGCAGGACGGGCTGCGCTTCAGCCTCACGGCCATGGCGGCCATGGCGCCAAAGCTGCAGACCATGTCGCCGGCGATCATGACTCACGCCACTCTGGTGTGCGGCGTCCCCTGCAGCGCAGTGTCAACAGAGCAGAAGGGGGAATACCTGGCCGAGCTGATCGGGAAGCTGGCAGAGCGGTCCGCTGCAGCGCCAGATGTGTGCG